CATCAAGTGCCTTTTTGTCTGGCTTAATTGTGGATTGGGGTCCTACGAAGAATTTTTATCGTGGCAGGTTTCTATCAAGGGACGTAGAGGCAAAGCAGGCACGGAAATGCTCCGCGCATTGGCGCAGATCGACCGGGGCGGCGGTGTCTGCAGAGCGGACATTTATTGGAAATCACGTGATTTTAGCGCTAAATAACTTCATTCAGTTGCCGTTTGTCCTTTAGAGGGTGAAATGATAGTGTTATTATTGCATTCCTTTCATATTACCATAGAACTAGTCTACTGTGTCATAATGATGTCAATTATCGCCGTCGTCCAACTCGGGTGATTTTGTTCTCATTTAATAAGGCGACTTCAGTAGTTAGCAACACTGAGGAAGCCTATGATGGGACTAATTGCTCATCGGGGTGATTCATTGCCCATATATATTAATTTGCGAATTGTACAATGATCGGGTGGCATTACAATAGATGCATAACTGGCAAGTTACAATAGTAAAATACAGTCTTGTAATAAGTTTCTTGTTACCGATGTACGACAGGTTTTTTGAAACATAGTCATGTATGGATTATGGTAAAACTTTCTACTTCTACTTCTACTTCTACTTCTATACTGGACAGTCCGTAAGGAAATAAACGTCGAACAGGGCAATAGCTACCAGGGGGGTGACGCTTGTAGCCGAATGGCCTGCAGGGCACAGAGTTTTTTTGGGCGCCCTCAGTGGTTTCTTTTTCGTCTCGGCATTGGCGCTTAGATTACTGGAGACCGTGACCGCCTTTAACGTGGTCAATCGCGAGCCATGGGAATTTCACCGGAGTCCCTCCAATGTTGAGAGGGCCAGGTTTTTACAACATTGAGAAAATTCAATGCCCCGCCGGGGTTTGAAACTCACAGGGCCTTCAGTGGAAGTATACGTGGCCTAACCACATGGACTAAAATGTCTCAGCTACCAGGATTTGTTTCACCATCGCAGCGTTGCGGTGGAAAAAGAAACAGCGTTCAAGTCGTTGCTTACTGGTCGTACTCTTTTTGCATTGCTTATGCAAACGCAAACGAACCTAATATTCCCAGTGTCGTCTTCATATCTGTCACATCTGCTGGGAAACCATAGTCAAGTCAGCGCTCAGTTAAAACCATCCAATAATCTATTACTCGAATACACATCAACAATTTCTACGCACGCAGCCCACCATACACGCACACACGACGCACGCACAAGCGCCACACAACAACACTCAGCTACACACGTGCACATGCGGCTTACACGGCACTCCGCACACAGCAGCCGACATGCCGCGCAGCGCTGACACACACATCAACACACACACAAACACCCACACAACTTACACCCACCCGACACTCTGCACGCACGCCACGAACGACAGCCCAGAGAGCACGCACGTCCGACACACAGATCATTGCATATCTGTGATTGGATTCAGCCGAAAGTTTCGAATTTGGTACATTCTACGACAGATGGATCCATGTGACGACTGTGTTCTGATGAAGTCTCAACATTCAGTGATATCCAAGGATAAACGTCAGGCGTATTCACCTATGTCACACAAACCTCGCTGCGACATCTCTCTTGGATTAGAATGTGGAAAAAACCTGGACTGCAAATTTACTAATCGGCAGTCGTTCTATATAAACTTCTTTTGCTTATTCACATTTCATGTCTAAATTGTTTTTTTCGCGAGCAACAAACTTGTGATCACGGACGGTAACACCGTACATGTTACATACATGTTTATTCAACGTCTTTTTGTACTACTTGGGTACATAATCTCCAACGGAACTGCCCTGGTGGACTTCGGTATCAATGTATAGTTCGGATTCTTTTCTCTTTTCCATCTGTAAGTTTTTAATGTCCAGCGTTTGGTGGCAATGGGAAAACACAAGACCTGCACGTAGCACTTGTGTGGGGAGAGGCAACACAATAGCACTAGCCTTTTGTCCGCAAATTCTGCAACGCACTGTCGACAGCGCCACTCAACCACTGATGGATACTGTCGATTGGGCCGCACGGG